AGATGACCTGTGACTTTGTGGAACGATTGTCCATTCAAATGTTCTTACTACGTTTTACGTACTACTCTTGCGAGAAGTCAAATGTGTGGCTAATTTGAAAATTTATAATAAACATGAAGCCCTATAAGCCGTATAAGCCTTCATATGTAATATTTATGGACAGCTTTCGTAAGATATGCCGAAAAATACGCATTTCAATAGTGCTACCAATCATGCGACCGTGATGGCACTTACAAAAAAAAACTCGTCTGCGTAATGCCCCCGATTTCGGAAATCTTTAATCGTGTTACTGTAACATTCGGATGACTTCAGGAACGTTGCTGCCATTAGAGCGCAAAATTTGATAGTCACAACTATCAGCAGGGGTTTTCAGTTGTGTGGCTCCGTGGAAAAATTGGCCATTCAGGCTGTCTAAATTGCGCAAATCGCAGAATCTCACGCTTCCTTGTGAGTCACCCACATTGAGTTGACTAGGTAGAACAGAATTATCTAGAAGGGCAGGTGCCCAAGGTGAAACAGTTTTTGTAAACTGTTGACAGGTCAAAATGAACGGTAAAATACAGATCAGTGTGTTGTGAAGTTTCTCCAAGCAACAACCCTAGATGGGTTAATGCAATTGCGAGTAATAATATGAAAAAATGCATGGGCTCTAGGAGGCGGGAACATGCATTTTTTATGGACCTTTGCAAGGTCCCCTCCTCGTCCAGTTTAAGATGAGGGAAGGAAAGGAAGCGAGGCGTCTTTCCTCATCTCAAGATCGACGAAGAGAGAACCTTGTTAAGGGCTTTATAGATGGTTTCCTTTTCTTCCTTTTTTTTCAGTTTTCAGTCAACTCTGCACCCACAGTTTTATGATCAACCGTTGCTACCTCACCAATTTGATCTGGGGTTGTTCCTTTCAAGATGCGCCATGCACATGACTTCTAATCAGATCCGAGAGCCCATTGGGAAGCTTGTCTCGACCATAAGCTGTCCATTGGGCCGTCCTATGTGTACGCCAGTGTTTTCTGAAGTCGTGGTGAGGCAAGGAGCCTATCCATTCACCGAAATCTTTCTGCGAAATGAGCATTCACATGGTCAACATGTGTCCTTCAGAAGCTTCGAAGGAATCGTCTCCCATTCTTCACCGTGAATCTATGAAAAAGATCAAATCCGAGCTGATAGATGGTTAGTTGAGGAATCACCGTCAATCACAACTACTGTCGTTCATTCGACCAAGCAATGAGATTACTTATTTATTTATTTATAATCTATTTATGTATTCAATACGCTATGTGAGACAGCGATTCTCCTCTGATTGCTTCGTTAATTTACGTGAGACGTCATGGGCCTTAAGATTTCTTCTTCCCCTCCTAGAAGCCTCATTCGAATTTATAGAAAGTTTCCCGGTATTTTAGCCAACATCAGAACACCAGAAATTGGATATATTTCGCTTGTTGACCAGTAGATTATGAATGATGTGTATGTTTTCTGGGAAGATCCCTGGCAAGCGTTGCATTCCGGTGGTCGAAGAAAATCCACCGAAACATATGCTGCTGATGTTTCTCATCGGCCATATCCACCCACGCGCTCACCGCGGTCGGAGGCGTGTCACTTTCTTGGAACAGTTGTTGTTCGATGAGCCAGTGGTTGCACACACGAATAGATGTCTGTGCTGACCATGCACTCATGAATCCGGAAAATGAGCCTGAAAACCTGACCCCGATTTGAATTGATGGATTGCCATTGCAGGTGCATAATCTGCCGTACGAGTCGCGATCGACATCGCTGTTTTTGGTCAAGCTGTTCCTTATTTCCGTCATATCCTATTATTTGATTTGGTGCCTTTATTGTCTGTAAATGGCCTTCTAGGAAATATGATTTTATTGGTTAAATTAGATCATGTGATTCGACCAAAATTTTGCGTATGGCCTGAAAATAGTGAATTCTTGTGGGTACTCTGCTAGTCACTTGACTGGCAGATGCTATGAGGTCACAAAAATGCATATATTGGCCAGAAGCTGATGAATTGGACCAGGTTGTGGTATTTTCGGTGGCTTATTTAGTAATTTATTCGATACTTGCATAGTTTATATCGTTATGAAGGACGATGGAAATATATTTATTTGTGATGTTTATGCTGTTTGCCTGTTTGTTTTGCCTTGTTTTGATGTTTACACAAAGTTGCCAAGTAGAAATTTATGATGAATAGTGAAAATGTATGCGAGCTCGGTTATGCCGTTAGCATATCGATTTTCTAATAGTCTCTTGTGGTCCGGGTTTTCCTATCTATCATCTCAAGGACCAAACAAAAAATGAGTGCACTTCATTATTATGAAGTATTACCATGGGCAAAGGACAAAATGGCCTGGGGTTAGTTCGTGAAGCTGACCCTCCCAATACTAACCCAGGAATTCACCCTGGGTTGTAGCCAAAACGTCCGTCTTTTGCGTGCTATGGCTCCTTGCCCACAGGACTCCCTCAGGGAGACGTTTGTAGTGAGGCTATAGGAAAGCGTAAGGCCTGAACAGGAGGGCTTACAAGTCATACCCCCCTCGCCTATTTTTCAAAACGATCTCTTAGATTATGGAGGGAACGTGAATGGAACACAAACCAAGCGTCATATGTAGCGCTTGAGTTCTGTGGCGCTCATGGCCTCAAAGGGGGCAATTAAAACAGGGCATTTGAAAACCATTGGTAAGCTGGGTCTAAGACCAAGGGAGGGAAGAAAGGCCAGGTAGAGCAAGAGTTGCTCACATCCTTCTACGGAACCCTTATTCCTCCTGAGGGTTAGATCCAAGTAATGTAACTGGCTCACTCATTTCAATGTCCCCCCCCCCTAACGGTCTGAGCGCCGCTTTTCCAACCCCTTTTGTGATATCGTTAGGGCCGCCCAGGAATGATGAACCGTAATTCCGTGTTCCATGCAAAAAAAAAGCGTTTTTAAAAATGGTTCACGACTTGAAAGACCCTCGTGGTGAGATTATCCAAAGGTTCGTGGAGTGAACTACTACTATAAGAGTGCTTCATCCTTCTGGGGTCATTCCATTTGTAGCCGAAGGGATAGAAAACACGTACTTTGATAGCGCAACTGGTTTTTCATGCTTTCATGTCAATTTTTGTCTAGAAAAACACCGACCTGTTATAGAAATCGCTTTGGTCAAATTGCGCTGCAATACCGAAAGTAGAGCATAGGCACGGCGTATTCCGGCGGTAGTAACACCATTGACCACGTTTCTACATTGTACCAGGGTCAACCGTCCTTTCGCCCTATTCGAACGACGGGGTCGCATGTGAGATTTTGGAGAAGGGGGGCATTTTGAGGTTGAGAAAGTTTAACTACTTCTGCGAAAATTACGGACGGAGTCGTAACCAAACCTCTTCCGCCCCTCCCACTCCCACCCTTCGACAGCCCGTACTACTTGATTTATTCCTCAATGGTCCTGCCGCGAATGGCTAGAGCACAGACGATTAGAGAACGGGTGAATGCCCTAGGACTAAGCCTTGGAGAGGAGAGGGACCCGCGAGAGAGCGCAGAGGCGGTTTAAAGGCTGAGTTCAAGTAGTCCGTCGACCGGGCGAAGCTCAAGTGTGTGGACTGGGCTCATAATCAACCACTATAGAAACAGCTAATGGTGAGGGTGGGGGTCGGGGTAGGGAGCAGGGTCAACCGTCACGTTCGAACATTTTCGGGATTTTTGCGACCCCCCCCCTCTCGAGAGGGACCAGTTGCGACCCCTCCCAACGGACAGTTGCGACCC